CGCGTAGTGTTGCCGATGGGCTTTGGCGGGAGAACGGGGCTGGAGCTTCGAGCGCGAACAAAGGGGTTTGCGAAATGGAGAACGATGGCTAAGATGATGCTGATGCTGATGATGATGATGAGGAGGAGGAGGAGGGGGAGGAGGAAGAGGAGGAGGAGGAGGAGGAGAGGGGGGGACACCGAAAGGGAAACAGAAAACAACGATGGTGCGTTTGTTGTCGCCACCTCGATGTTTGCCCCCACCCCCCGTCCCTGTGGCTCGCGGGTCTTCAGAGGAACGTCTAGCGCTTTTTTTTTCCGTCGTTTCCCCACTAGTTCCACTTCCTCCCGCCTTGTTCCTCCAGCACCCCTCCTCCCTCCTCCCGTTCCTCCTTCTCCTCGCGCTGCTCGCCTTTTCCCACGGATGGGAAGACCTATTCGCTCAATGATCATATTGCATGCCTCTGCGATTGCGGCGTAACCCTTGCCATGTGTTGAGTTCGCCCATCCATGCACCAACCAGGTCCCTGGCCCAACCCCCCCACCATTCCTATCGCAACGAAGTTCCCCACCCCACTAGGCTCTGAGACCCGCCTTGGGGTCTCTGAATCTTTATTTCGGCTTCAAGAGGCTTTCGAATTGGTTCACCAGGACGCCCGCTGGCCGCCAAGATAGCCTAGGGTGGCCCAAGCTGGTACAGTATGATCCCAAGGCAGCCCCCTGGGGTCCACAAGACGCCCCAATGCAGCTCCCAAGATGCCAACCCAGGGCTTCAAGGCTACCCTAACAGGAAGACTCCCCACAGACTGTCGCACTCCAAGCCCGCCCACGTCATAGTGAATAGCTGTCTCTCCACGCAGGCCCTGAATAGCTCGCAGGTCCCGCGTAATCTCCAGTAGGAGTTGCAGCGATAAGCGACACGCTGGGACAGCAGAAAGAGAGAGAGAGAGAGAGATACTGGAGGATTAGCGTCAGTTTGGGCATGTCCCCCTACAGGCGGATTTGGACGAAAAATGCAAAGATAGCCAAACAATCATCATAATTGTCAAACATACTTCGGGGGTGGACAGAACCCCCAACAGTGACACGTCGATTAGTGAATTGTCCGTTTTCGGTTCTCGAGAAGGCGCCGTGGCCGTGATTTTCCAGGCTTGCGCCCGCCAGGTTTGGGCCTCAGGTCGTTTTCACTAAACCACGTTTTACTAAAGGGAGGTCTGTCCATCCCCGAATAGTGAGAAACATAGTAATCTTATTTTTGTTTGTTAGACTATTTGGGAACATTCCTCCTGTAAAAAAAGGGACACGCCCCACTTAAGATTAGCGCGAAAGGATACCAACCGCATATCGGAGGACGCAGCAGGGCAAGGCATGGAATACGCCGGTCCGACAAGCACGCGCACAGGGGTCCACACGGGAACCCTACCCCTACCCCCAACGATTTCTGAGGGGGAGGGGGGGTTCGCATGTGGCCCCCTAGCGCAGCTGACAACGCCCTGGCCTGCGCTATGATCCAGCCGCGCGCGGAGTACGCTCGTGGTTCTAGTCGAGTGTGTCTTGAGGTCTGAGGAAAGGGGCTCCACGCCAGAAGAGGGTCGGAGGATCGATGCTTTTTGGAATTTTGTTTGTTGTTTCTGCCACTGGAGAATTCCAGGGACATCCAGGGGCCCCTGGAGGCAGTGGATCGGGTGTTGGCGGGTGGCATCTCAGTTTAATGGAGCACTCCCACCAGGAAGCCGGACTTCGTTTTCGGTCGGTCCCGTGCGCTCGGGTGGGGCAAAGCTGCACCGCACTCACAGGTGGGCGCATTTGTCCCGCCCTCCCCGTGGTCCCGGGGTGGTCCCGCGTGCCCGCCACGATTCCCCACGGTTCTCTTTTCCCGTTGTGTCACGCTTTACGCGTGGTTGTTTTGCGGCAGTTCGCTTTTGGCCCCGTGGCTGTCCGTGGTCTTGTGGTGTTCGTGCGGCCGTCTCGTGGTTGTCCCACGCACTTCCCTCGTGGTTGTCCCGTGGTTGTGGTTGCCCCGCGGTGATCATGCGCCCCGTTGCCGCTCGTCGGGCCACCCGCTCCGTGGTGCTAGCGACAGGTAGCCAGACGACCATCGATAGCAGATGCCTCTTGACCCCATCTTGTGGGGACTCTTGGAGCCCTCGTGGTCTTTTTGGGGCCCCCCGTCTTGGAGGCCACCGAGGACCACAGAGGGTCGTTGCCATTTTTGGAGGCCTCCCAACTGGGGTCCGAGTAGATGGGGTCGGGGTTTCGCGGCGCATCGCCAATGCATCGCCGACGCGGCGGCGACTTCGGCGATGCATCGGCGCCGTCGGCGTGCAGAAAATCGTGCTCCGCACGGCGATGCATCGGCGATCCAGCGCGAACTTCCGACTCCATTTCGTCGGATCCCGTCTGGGGGGATTGGATTGTTGGAGTCGATGTTTCTTGATTTCGGGGTCGTGTAGGCATCAGGACCAGGCTTCGATCCAGAAAGGAAACGCGTTCTCTTGCAGAGGAGAGGGCCAGCAGCCACCGTGCGCGTCGGTGTCCACCTCGTGGTGATTTACTAACTTCAGGAGGGCAAAAACACACAGACACAATTCTAGACGCTTCGCGTATCCCCACCAGCTGCAGGTACCTGCCGTTCCCCTGCCCACTCTGTGGTCAGATTCAGCCCTGACTGCGCTCCAGCGCCTATGAGCTGGTCGCGGCTGCAGCGTACCTCGGCGACCTTCGGCCGATAAGCAGGCGGCAGTGGACTAGCTCTTGGGCCTGCGTGTCCTCTTTCATCGTTGCTTCCTGGCCTGTCACTGGTTTCGGGAACGATGACTGACACAGCGGCCCCCCTCCGGGCAGCGGTGTGGATCGTGGAGTGAGTGCTCTGCAGGTCCCTGCCGTTCTTCTGCCCCTGTCTTAGCCGACCCCGCGCACGGCGGTGGTACGGACTTCGCGCTGAGTGGTTCAGCCTTCAGCGTTGTCGCTTCGGTTCTCCCTGCGCTTTCGGCTAGGAGAGCTGCTCGGAGCTTGGCGCCGACAGGGCGACTTCTCCGTTGCACTCGCACTGCGGTCTGCTTCACTTTGGTGTGGCTGGCGCCTATGCGCGTTCGCCTTAATGCGGGGCATTTTGCTCAGTGCATGTGCACACCACGCATTCTTGCTAATTCGCCTAGTTCGCGTCCCGGACTTTGCTCTCGCCGCCTGACAGTTGTCTCGCGGCCGCGACCGGAAAAGATATCTCCACCAGCCCGTCCAGAAATGAGTCCCAGGGGAGTGGAGGTGATGAGGGAAGCGGGGGAGCATGCAGAAAAACAAAGGGTGGGGTAAACCGCCATATGCCCCAAAAAGGGGAGGATGTAGGAGGAGTCGTCGTCGTCGTCGGAGTAAGAGGAGGAAGAGGAGCAGGAGGAGGAGCAGGAGGAGGAGTGGGCGGAGGAAGAGGAGGAGGAGGAGGAGGAGGAGGAGGAGGAGGAGGAAGATGAGGAGGAGGAAATGGAGGAGGGCGAGGACGTGGAGGACGAGAAGGACGAGAAAGAGAAGGAGGAGGAGGAGGAGGAGGAGGAGGAGGAGGAGGAGTAGGTCTTGGGCCGTCTTTGGGGCCTCTTGGCGGTCCCGGGGCCTCTTGCGTATCTCGGGGAGCCTCTTGGGGCCTCTTGGGGGTCTCTTGGGAGCCTCTTGGAGGCCTCTTGGGCGCCTCTTGGGGCCTCTTTGGGCCCTCTTGGGGCGCTCTTGGGGCGCTCTTGGGAGCCTTCGGGGCGCTCTTGGGACCATGGAGATCTATCAAAGAAGGGGGGGGTGAATTAGCGTTGCCACTCTAGAGTGCCTCGAACCGCCTCTTGGGCCCCAACAGAGGCCAACATCCTTCCAAAACCTATGGAAATCATTTGTTTTTGCTTTCTCGCGCTTTCGTTCTTGGAGCCGTCTTGGGCCATCTTGGATGCCCCAACGACCTGCGGAACCCCCCGTCCAGGTCCAGGGGAGGGGGTAGGGCGAGGGGTAAACTCCTCCCCGAAGGAGGTTGGAAGAGGAAACTCTCTAGACCACCGACGCCCAGTGGGCTGGTGGGATGTGTAGGCGTCAGGACCAGACTTCGATCCAGAAAGGCAGCGCGTTCTCTTGCAGAGGAGAGGGCCAGCAGCCACCGTGCGCGTCGGTGTCCACCTCGTGGTGATTTACTTCAGGAGGGCAAAAACACACAGACACAATTCATCGTCAATTCTCAGGAAAAGATGGGAACATATGTGAAGGGGGGGAAGACAAAAACCCGGAAGATATGGGAACGTATCTGGAATCCTGCTATTGGTGTTTACTCATCTGTGTGCCCCAGGGCCTCTTTCTAACTTCTATTGCTGGTGTGCCTCCACGCGGCGACGAGCCCAGGGGGGAGCAGAGGGGGCGGGCCTTCCCAGTCCTAAGCCCCTGGTATCGCTCGGACGTGTGCACTTTGTCTCGGCGGGGGTCCTTGAGGAGCGTCCTGGACCATCCTGCGAACAAAACCACGCACGGAACCGACAAACAAAGCACAGGGAATGGACGTCCGAGCGATGGCCAGTGCTGTCGATCCACTGTCAAGCACTCATCGTTGTCGTCCTCCTACTGGTGCTCCTGCTCCGGGCCGCCCTGACATTCCTCTTGCTGCCCTTCACCCTCACATCCTGCATCTGCTTGTATTCCGTATCGACCGCGTCGTTGGGACAAACCGGCGTCGTTGTTACACAGCGATGTTAGGCGATTGATGTTGGAGGTTGTAAACCGTGGCAAAATGATATTTCGAGGGGAGATGACAGGGATGAACATAGGAACGAACGTTGATGATCATTTGGGCCGGCACTACTGGCGGGTTCAAGCTTGGGGAAGGGTGGAGAGGTGTTGGAGAAGGGAAGATGAAGAACAGGAGGAGAAGGAGGCGGAGAAGGAATGAGTGGAGGAGGTGGAGAGAGAAGAGGAATTAAGAGAAGTTGGAGGAGGAGCAGCAGCAGCAGCAGCCGAAGGGGACGAGAAAAAGTGTGGTGGGGGGTGCTCTCTTTGGTGGGACAGGTCCGCCGCATCCGCGAGATAGACGCCAGCTCCAGGCGTCCTGTGTGTCTTCGCCAATCTCTCATCCACTTCGTGACCCTCTCAGCCCGTCCTGTTCGTCCATAGTTCGCCGTATAGCCCCAACGAGACATGATGAGAGCTCAGCAGCAACACATCAGCGCAACGCAGTGCCGCAGCCACCGAACGACCGATCGCCCTCTGTTCCTCCGCGTGCTCCTCCTTGCCCTCTTCCTACAAGTTTGTGGGCTCGCATGAGGTACTACCGAAGCGCGATCCAACCCAATCCTCCCTCCTGTCTCTCCCCCCTCCTGCCCTCCCGTCCCATCTTTCCCATTCCCTTACTCGTCCCTCCTTTGCTTCTCCCCCAATCCGTCCCCCCATCTTCTCCGTCGTCCCCTCTGCACTGTACTGCGCATGCACTGTCAAGTCCTCACAGATCCTCACGACCTGAGTCTGGGACTCTGGGCACACCCGTAGGCCACCTGAAGTCTATTATCGAGCATCGCCACGTGTGGCGCGCCATTGCACGGGCAAGACGCAGTCGGAGCGCCCAATGGACGCAGGAGGTACCCAAACCTCCCCCCCCCTCCGTGAGAGGAGGACAAGGTGCCCATGCCGCTGCCCTCGGCGCGCTTTCCCGTGGGTCGGTATCCTGGGAGGCCCTCGTCGCCACCGCTGGATTCGCTTCGAAGTCCTGGTCAGAACGCACCCTGGCAGGTGTCCAGGGAGTACAGTGGGGGCGTGCATCAAGGCACCATGTGTTTTTCGTCAGGGTATCCTGGGTTTCTTCGCTCCGCGAGCTGCGCGGTGCACTTCCCCAGCCGTCGAAGAGGCTGCTGCGTTAAGGGTGCTCTGGGTTTCCCCTGGGGTGCACCTCGCGCGCGGGTTGTCAGGGTTGGGTTTCTTGCGAGGGTTCCTTGCGGCCGCGCCCGCACCGTAGCGGTATCGGCACCTTTTGGTTTCCCCATTTTCTGTCGCCAAGACCGCCTGAGGGGACACAACGGCTCTTCGGGTGGCCTCGCCAGGGAGAGGAGGGGGGGCTGGGCTTTTTTTCAGCCGCAAGAAGACACGAGCGCAACATACAGTCGACCCGCAGAGTAAAGGATAGGCATCCTTCCCAAGGGTACCCTTGCATCCTTGCTTCCTGAGTCCATCCTTGGACACTTTCGTTGGCCGCGCCCCGCTCGAAGAGCTTCGAAACGGGCCTCCAAGGCCATTGCATCCTTATCCCGCATCCTTACTCTGCGGGTCGACCGTAGTTATCGAAGACGCTTGCGGCGAACCACCGCCGCCCCCTGTCTTTCAGGATACGCCTACGTGTCGGGCGAAAAGAGCTATGCACATGCACCGATCCTGGCAAGGCCCATCCTTGACCCAGGATCGGTGCATGTGCCTTCCTGGCCAAGGCAGGAGGGCGTATGTACCGATCATGGGTTCAGGATGGGCCTGGCCAGAATCGGTGCGTGTGTACAGTTCAATTTCCTCTATACGTGGCCAAACGTTTGGGCAAAGTTTGGGTACGTTACTGGACCATGGTCTCCCCTGGCCGTTGTGGAAACCCTTCGGGGAACACGGGGGGAAGTAATCAGAGGATGAGGAGAGGGAGGAGAAAGGAGGAGCAAGGAGAAAAAGGAGAAGTTGGGGCCTCCTGGGAGCTTCCTGGGGGCCTCTCTGAGGCCTGTTGGGGCCCTCCTTGGGCCTCTTGGGGACCTTTGGGGGCTTCTTGGGAGCCTCTTTGGCCGTCTTAGGGCGTTCCTGGCCCCCAAGACGCTGTCGGAAGGCATATCGGGGGTCTCTTGGGGCCCTCTTGGGCTGTTTCAGGGCCGTCTCGGAGGCCATCTTGGGCGCCTTGGAGGCCTGTGGGGCCGTCTTGAAGTGTCGGGAGCTCGAAAAGTCGAGGATCCCAAAATCATGGAAAGACCTGTTTGGGAAGTCAGTGATTTGAGCCTCTCGTGGCCCTCTTGGAACGATCATTGGGCGTCTCGGGGCCCTCTTGGACTGTCTTGGGGACCTCTTTCGGGCCTTCTTGGTCCGTCCTGGGGCCCTCTTGGGCCCAAAAAGGCATGCGAGATGATGCCCGGGAGCCCAGGGGAGTTGGGCCAAGCCCAAGAAGATTTCAGAATGCGTGGTCCGGGCCCCGTAAACGACTCCCCAGGAATGAGGACTGAGGCTGAAGGGACTAGGCAAAGGACCTGAGGACACGCCCACTCCGTGCCCAGAGGCACGGTGGCGGATATGTTAGCCCACCTTCGGAGTACATGTCCTTAAAAGGGCCCCGACCTGGAGGCAATTTCGGCGGCGCGAACGGGGTGGGGAAGCGAGAGAGGACGGGCCTCCTCGGAAGGCAGCGGGCTTCTCAGAAGCCATCCGGCCTTCCGAGAAGTTTCCTGTGTCTTCGGAGAGGGTTTCGAACACTTCTCAGAAGGAGGCCCTCCCGGCCTTCTGAGAAGGCTGGGCCCTTCTCGCTTCTCCCCCTGGACTCCTGGGCTCGCCGCCGAACAGAACGGAGCCTCCCGCCGGGGCTGCTTGAAGCCCAACCCCTCCGCCAGGCCACCGCGCCGGACCCTTCCCAGTTTCGTAGTCGCTCCCGGCCCTCTCATAGGCAGTCCCAAAACATGCTGCAACTCGGTGAGCTGAATGGGGCCGTTGGGGCACCTCGAGGGGATCCGCTGCCGGCACAAACCGTACTGGTCGTCCGTCGCAGGTCCCTTCCAGGCAAATTGATGCTGCGTGATTCACCGAGCGTTTTTTTCCACTACTCGCAAAATGTGTACTCGCAAGCGTCCGAAAAACACGTCTGCATCAATATAATGCATCGCAAATCCCCTCGGCGGATCCAGGGCATTTGCGAGTGGCTACTTTGCGAGTAGTGGAACGAGCTTGTCTATTGGTGATCCCCCATGCCCGGTGTTCCTTTTCGCCTGCTGGGATGGCCCCTTTTACCGCGGACGTGGGGCGATTCACTCTGGAGGCGAACGTGGGGCGCAGCGTGACGTCTCGAGTCCGCTCGAAGACTTCGGTCTCGGCCTCGTGAGGTGACTTTGCTTGCAGACGTGTCCCAGCTCCTCTGAATTTCTTGAGCCGTCGTCCCCCTGGTTGCTCTCCCGTCCTCCATCCTTGTCCCCACGCCCGCCCATGACCCCTCCATCATCCCTTCACTGCCCCCATTCTCACCCTGCCCCCGCCGCCTTCTCCTCCTCTCCCCCTCTCCCTTCCTCCTGCCTCCCGCCTGTCCCACCCTCCTTTCGCACATCCCTCCTGCCTCCCTCCTCCCCCAGGGCTTCCGAAAAGCTCGCGCTTCCGCCAAGGGCCGTCTGCCTGGGCAAGCCGACTTGCCTGCCGAAAGACACTGTGCCCAGGGGGCGAGGAGAAGGGAGGAGAGCTCGAGGAGAAGAACGGAAAGATGTGACATCCTCCAGGCCTCGGAACAAAAATAACCAACAAGCACTCATGCCGCATTCCTCTGTCAACGCCTCCCCCTCCCTCCAATGTTCAAAGTTGGCGGTGGGTCTGATGAGTTGCACCTCGACCGCAGTCTCCCCCGCGCGCGGCAACCTTGAGATCGGTGGGGGAGGGGGAGCGTTCCGATATTTTAGTTCCCCCTGCCGTCCGTCCACCCGTCCGATCCTCCCCGTGGCGTGCCCAGTCTGCCCCTGCCATGCTCGTCTCTCGCCGGGACGGCCGCGAGCCATAATCCGTCGGCAGCGTCGCGCGCTCCTGTCCCCGTGGAGGTGGAGAGGGAGAGAAGTGCCGACGCCCAGTGCCGTCGCCCCTGACGGACGACGACGGCGACGGTGGCGACGACGACGGCGGCGACGACGACGACGGCGAAGGCGGCGGCGGCGGCGGTGGCGACGAAGCACATGCGTCAAGCTAGGGAAGGTAACCGAGGTTGCCCTCGTGGGATGCTCTTGGGAGTGCTCTTGGGGCTCTCTTGGGCCTCTTGGGGGCCCCACCAGACCTGTCCAGGGGCAACGATGCTCACCCCAGTCCTGCCCACGGGAGCGTCCTGCTTCGGATCTCGTGTGAAGTCGCGCATGTCCCTCTACAGGAGGAATGTTCAAAAACACGAGAAAATATGACAGTCTGGGGACGATGCTGTTACTCTTTCTGACTATTTTGGAATTTGTTTGGCTAGTTTTTGTCAGTTTTCCTCCCGAAGTCACCCTTGAGCAGGACATGCCCGACCTAAATCTCGAGGCGGATCCAGCCGTGCAGAGGCGGGCGCCAGCAGATGGCGAGGATCGCGCCTCCGAGCCTCGAGTCGCGATCCTCGACGGGGGGGGGGGCGTGCCTCGGACTCGGGCGGTCTCGAGAGGATCCTCGATCCTCCTCGCTCGGATGCCACTCCTGGGAGGTCAAATTCTGTCTTCGCCCTGGTCCGAAATCCGGCTTAATCCAGCTTTGTCCCGCTTAATCCGGCTTAATCCCGCTTAATCCCGTTTAATCCGGCTTAAACTTGCTTAGTCCGAGGCCCACTCCGGCGTAACAGTTGCCAAATGCGGCTTAATCCTCCTTAATCTTTCCGACGAGAACCTCCCAGTAGTTGCCTCCTCCTCCTCGATCCTCCTCCTCGATCCTCCTTGAGCATCGATCCTGCCGCTCAGCCAGCTCCGGCCCCCCCGGTCCTCGTTCCCAGACCTCCTCGCGCCGTGAAAAAAAAAAGCATCACGACGGGAGGTGTTGCGCCATCTCTTCGGCCTCCTGGGGGCCCTCCCAGGCGGCCCGGATTGGTAGGTCGACCCTGCCAGCTCGAGGGTACCCTTGTGTCCTGTGCCTCGCGACACGTGCCGTCTCACACTCCCATGGCGACGTGGCCCTCGGAAGGGTCTTTTGTCCTCTCGCGCGTCCTGTCCAATGAAGGCCGACCGCACTGGGCCTCGGGGCCGCCGCAAAACACGAGCCAGGATGCGAAGCCGACCCCGGGGAAGGGGTCCAGTGTTCCGCCATTGTCGGCGTCACGACGGGAGGTGATTCGACGATAAAAAAACATCACGACGGGAGATGTTTCGCCATTGTCGGCCTCTGGGGGCCCTC